GGGGGACCTGGGGAGCTGGCGGCCGCGGTATGCATTGTTGGCGAGCCTGCGCGAGGCAGGACACCCGCAGACTGTAGGGAGACCCGGAGATTTGGATGCCGAGGTATGCAGAGTGTCGCGAGGCAAGACACTCGGGGACGATATTCGGGAGACCTGGGGATCTGGCGGCCGCGGTATGCAGAGTGGCGCGAGGCGGGACACTCGGGGACAGTCGGGAGACCTGGAGATCTGGCGGCCGCGGTATGCAGGGTGGACGGGTCGGGAGGCTTGTTTTCACACTGTAATGACCCCAATTTGGCGGGTGGGGAAAACGCCAGGTCGAGCCCATTGCCACGCAATCCAATTCTGTGATGCTTTGGAACCCCCAGCAGAGGGCCGACACATCGGAAGCAGAATGCTTCCCAGGCTCGATGGGGGGCGAGGTCACATTTTGGGTAGCACCGCACACAGGTGGACCCCCTATGAGCTCTCGAGAGCGGCGACAGTTGCGTTCTTGGCATCACCCAGGCAAGCGAGGTCTCATTCTGATCCCGGTAGCACCCCACTGCATTGGACGCCCCACGATTTCACCGAAGCCGCGAAGCTTACGCAGTGGTCCGCACCTGACCTTGGTAGCACGGTACGACTTTTCCGCAGTGGGCAGTACCCAGGGAGGCGAGGTCGCTTCCCGATCAGGGTAGCGTCGCACTCCGATGGGCTCTCCACAGGCTCACGATATTTGCGACAGATGCGCAGGGGGCAGCATGCAAAGAGACGGGTCGCATCTGCACCTGAGCACACCCGCGCCTTACTGGACCCCCCACGAACTCACAAAGGCGGCGACATCTACGCGTTTGGCAGCACCCAGGTGGGCGAGTTCTCATTCTGATCTGGTTGACACCGCGCTCCACGGGACCCCGCCAAGAGCCCATTCAAATCGCCACAGTCGAGCTGTGGGCAGTACCGAGGGGGGCGAAGTTCCATCCTCATCTGGGTAGCACCGCACTCCGCGGGACCTTCCACGAGCTCGCGAAAGTGGCGACGGTTGCGCAGATGGCAGCGCCCAGGGAGTGGAGTATGTAATCGCTTGCGCCTGCGCAAGAACGCACTCCGCCGGACCCCCAGGAACCCACAAAATTGCCAACTTCCATGGAGGCGAGTAGGCAAACAGACCACATGGTGCATACAGCGTTCCACAAACCGCGCCGAGCCCAACCCAGGACGCCAACATGACGGCCCAAGGTAACCCAAGATTGCCTCCGAGACGGCCGAGAGGATCCATGCTGGACGCGACGACGACCAAACCACACTGCTCGAAACTTGCCTGGGTGGGCTCCGAGGGGACTTCCGTGAGGCCCCCAAGAGGTAAACTTATGTACTCCAGGTTTTGTAATAAAAAGGGAGGGGGTCTGGACCCTCCAAGACAAGCTTTTTCAGACCCTCCAAGAGACCCCCCCCGAAATGAGACCCACCTCTCTTTATTACGAAATCTGGAGTAGCCGCACACCACGGAGCCTTGACGCCTTGGCGCTTTCAGCCAGAGGGTGGGCTGCAAGTTGTTTGCAGGGACCGGTCCGACGACCTCCCGAGCGTTTCACGGGGGTGCCTGGCGTGCCAGACGATGGAGCCCTCTTTGACCCTTCCAGAATCTTCCCTCTGGCCCTTCGGCCCTTCCGCCGCTCCCCCGCCTGGGGCCACTGCACAGAGCCCAGGACGATCTGACCACTCGCCGCCGCCAAGATTGTCCAGGACGACCTCTGGGACGCTTTCCGGTGAAGCAAGGCGGCCCCAACAGGTTTCAAGAGGCCCTCGTGGGGGTATCTTAGACCGTCTCGGGAGACCTCAGACACGAGTTTGTGCCAATTTAGTCCTCGGTCCTAAGAGCCCGCAGGACGCCCCAGGTTGGACACCAAGACCAGCCGGTGCATGACCCAAGACCCACTTGACGGCCCCGAGAGGGCCCCAACACGGCCGAAGAGGGCCGCGAGACGGTCCTAGCGTGATCGAATCTTGTCCCGAGGGGCCCCCAAGGCGGCCTCTGACGGCGCCAGACGGCCCCAGAGCGCCTGGGGAGGGCCCCAGAGAGACCCCAAGCAAGGGGGGCCCGGGAGACCCTTCCGAGTGAGAGACTGTTTTTGTTTAGGGTCGGGCGATAACCCAGGTTGTCGGGCTTGCCCCCCCTCCCCCCGCCCCCAAGGATAACCAAACCTTGCCGGTTGTGCAGGTCCGTGGGAAGGGGGGCGCAGGCATATGCAGGGCTGCCCACAGTGCGAGGGTTAGGTTATCGGCCGGCCCCCTCCTCACCCCCCCTGGATAACCCGGAGTATCGCCGACTCCCCCCAAAAATGTGTCTTAAACAGCCCGCACAGAGCAGAAAGGCCGCAGAGGGCTTTTTCGCAGTGCTTCCCCAGTGGTTTCCCCGAGCGCTGGGAAACACGCAGTCCATCATCAGCACGACAGGCACGCCTTGGATAAATCGAGAGGGGCGGCAGATCAAAAACGCCCACGGCGAACCACCGCCGCTCCTTGCCTTCTTGAAGCGCCTGCGTGGTGATGCGTCAAGCGAAGGTGCGGCCATACGAGTGAACTGAACGGAACGATCACAACGCTATAGCTTGGTTTGGGTCCTTGTATGATTTTTCGTTTTCGTTGTTCGTTTTTGCCTTACACGCCCCGTTTCGTTAGTCGTTTTCGTTTGATGCCGCTTTCGTTTTAAACGTTGGTTGTTCAACGTTGGGTTTCGTTTCGTTGTTCGTTGTAAAGCCATTTCGTTCCCGGCGGAGCCGGGTGAAATTCCGTGCCCGCCGGCTGACTGATGACTGACTGAACGTCAGGGGACAGCTCGGGAGACTCATTTCAAACCGCCCGCGGGAGCGCAACCCGGCGGCGGCAACCGCAACCCAACCCGGCGACACATTTCACAGCGCCCGCGGGAGCGCGCAACCGCAACCGCAACCGCAACCGGGCGACACATTTCAAAGCGCCCGCGGGAGCGCGCAACCGCAACCGCAACCCGGCGACACATTTCAAAGCGCCCGCGGGAGCGCGCAACCGCAACCGCAACCGCAACCGGGCGACACATTTCAAAGCGCCCGCGGGAGCGCGCAACCGCAACCGCAACCGGGCGACGCATTTCAAAGCGCCCGCGGGAGCGCGCAACCGCAACCGCAACCGCAACCGGGCGACACATTTCAAAGCGCCCGCGGGCGCGCGCAACCGCAACCGCAACCGGGCGACACATTTCAAAGCGCCCGCGGGCGCGCAACCGCAACCGCAACCGGGCGACACATTTCAAAGCGCCCGCGGGCGCGCAACCGCAACCGCAACCGGGCGACACATTTCAAAGCGCCCGCGGGAGCGCGCAACCGCAACCGCAACCGCAACCGGGCGACACATTTCAAAGCGCCCGCGGGCGCGCAACCGCAACCGCAACCCGGCGACACATTTCAAAGCGCCCGCGGGAGCGCGCAACCGCAACCGCAACCGCAACCGGGCGACACATTTCAAAGCGCCCGCGGGAGGGCGCAACCGCAACCGCAACCGCAACCGGGCGACACATTTCAAAGCGCCCGCCGCAACCGCAACCGCAACCGGGCGACACATTTCAAAGCGCCCGCGGGAGGGCGCACCCGCAGGGTTTCAAGGGGGTCGATTGCGCGTGCACTTGTGCGTAAGCTGCCCGCGGAAGGTGGCGCGTAGGCGCCTTAATGCGGTCTGCCGCGCGAGCGGCTTGCGTGATCCACCGCGCAAGGTCGTCGCGCAATCGAGAGCAACCCCCCTTCTGATCGTTTCTCCCTGGGGGGTCAGGCGAGTGGAATTGCCTCAGCCACGTCTCGGCCACGCTCGTGGGACTGCCCCCCGCAGGGTTTCAAGGGGGTCGATTGCGCGGGCACTCGCGCGCATGCCGCCCTCGTAAGTTCGCGCGTCTGCCGCGCGAGCGGCCTGCGTGAGCCACCGCGCAAGGTCGTCGCGCATTCGAGTGCAACCCCCCTTCTGATCGTTTCTCCCGGGGGGGTTCAGGCGAGTGGAGTTGCCTCAGCCACATTTCGGCCACGCTCGTGGGACTGCCCCCCGCAGGGTTTCAAGGGGGTCGATTGGGGGCGGGGGACGACAAGGAGAAGAAGGAGGAGCCACTGGCGGAGGGCCCGACGACGAGCCCCCGCGTGGCCCGCGGTTCTCCGCCGGGACATTGCAGCGGGGAATCCCTATTCCACGCTGCTGCCCTTGATTCGAAACATCCTTGTGGTAGAACCCTGGTGAATAGCGTGTTCCTAAGGCGCTTGGGGAAACCACCTGGGGGAGCACTGGGAGAGGAGCCTTCTGCGGTCACCTTGCGGCTCTTTCGGGGCCACTGCCGCATCACGTGCAATTGCCCATCGGTCGTTGAAAGTAGGTACCTTTGGATTCCCCGATTCCGATCTACTTTGAGCGCTCTCTTGCTTCAATGATCGAGTGACTTCACCTTTTCCGTCCTCTTCAGGGGGCGGGCGGACACCCAATCTATTTTCAACGCCTTCCTGATTCATGCTGCTATCCACTCCTTTCGACCGATGGGGTATCGTCGAGCCACGCACCCAGAGTCGAGGACCAAATTGTGACACAAACATAAACTTTCGGATTTCTTGGACCAGCGCTGGCCTCCTCCTCTTCCTCCTCCTCCTCTTCCTCCTCCTCCTCCTCCTACTCCTCCTCCTCCTCCTCCTCCTCTTCCTCTTCCTCTCCTCCTCCTCATCCTCCTCCTCCTCCTCCTCCTCCTCTAATTCCTCCTCCTCCCTCCTCTCCTCCTCATCCTCCTCCTCCTCCTCCTCCTCCTCCTCCTCCTCCTCCCCAGGGCGGCGCCGGAGCCGCCGCCAGCGGGCACCAGCGCCGATTCGAGAAATCCGCGCGGACCTCCGAAAGTTCATGTTTATGCCATCATTTGTTCGGAGGTGGGAGGGGATCGCAGATCTCCAGTTCTGCTGGCCGTGAGTATGTCACGTAATCAAGTTTGAGTGCGCATTGGACAGACATAATTGCGACAGGCCGAGCCTGGACTGGATGCTGAAGACGCAGTCCGCGCAGCAGTTCATTCCTCTGTGCGGTTGGGACAACTTGCCCGGGTACCTGGCGTTGCCTTTCATAGGCTCGCGTCTCTGTCTCTCCTCTGGCGCCTTTTCCCAGAGCGGTGCCTGTGGTGGGCTCGTCGGGCGGATGGTAAATGGGAGGTGACCTGAATGGGGCGTGAAGGCAAGGCCGTAAAGGGCCCCTTGAGTGCCGTGTTCTTCACCCCCCATCTAGGCCACCCCCAATACCACCACCCGCCCGAGCTCGTCTGGTCATCCACGTCCCGAGTCATAAGATCCCTGCGCTGGGCGGAAGGTCGGGACGGGCCTGCTTCCCGAGTCCGGCCGCGCGTGGGGTGCCGTCGGTGGCCGCTCGGGTCACGGTGGGCCGGGTTGCAGGGTCTGGCGGTGCGTGCTATGCGGAGGAGGGTGCCGATGCCGCTGCAGTGCAGACCGATGCCAAGAAGCACCCTGCTTGCTTCCAGGGTGCCCTGGGTCTCTTGGGCTTCGACGGCTTTGCTATGGAAAGCGTGACGTCCCCACACCAAAAGTCAGGGGAAGTCCTGGGGTCTCAGGGCCGGGTTTCTTGTGAAAGTTTTCTTGTAGTCGAGCTCCTACTGTAGGATCTCACGGGGTCACGTTCAGGGTTGTCCCAATCCGTATCAGATCTGCCCAGAAGCTTCAACCCTCAGATTGTCCCCACCGTGAGGATTGTGATGATGATGATGATGACGGTGTTGATGATGTTAATGTTGATGTGGACGTTGATGCTGCTGATGATGATGATGATGCTGATGATCATGATCATGCTCAGGATCATGATCATGAGCATGATGTTGATAATGGTGGTGGTGGTGGTGGCAGTGATGATGCTGATGACGAGAAGGATGGTGCCTATGATTGTATTTATGATGATTACGATTATGATGCTGCCGATGATGATGTTGATGATGATGATGATGATGATGATGATGATGGTGATGGTCATGGTGATGGTGATGGTGATGATGATGATGATGATGATGATGATGATGATGTTGATGTTGATGTTGATGATTATGATGATGGTACTGATGCTGACGATAATCATGGTGTTCATGACGATGGTGGTGGCACCGTCATCATGAGTATTGTCATCACCATCGTCGTCATCGTCATTGTTGCCGCCTAGTTGAGTTTTGCCAACACGTTTCACACGTGTAAATTAATTGTCTCCACTGGTCGCTCCTCACATGTTGAAATGCATAGCCTGCGTCTCACACATTGCGCCTTAGAAATTACACAGCCTGCGTTCCAGCCCACTGGTAGCGCCCGATGCATTACATCCCATTTGTTGCATTATAAAAGTTGCACACCCACAGCTGACATCCCATGCGGTTGACTGTGCAGGTTGCACTCCCTCATTCGCAACCGGTGCGTTGCCTGTGTTTGTGGCCCATGCGCTGGCATATTGCATCATCGTTTTCTCCTACCATTCCTCTTGTTCTCGTCCCTCCCCCCTTCACGCACCCTTCCAATCCTACAGTCCTGTGGCTGCTCCTTTGTTCCCTCCGGCTTGCGCTGCTGCTGTTCTTGTCTTGCCCCCGATTCCTCGGTTAGGCGTTCGATCTTGGACCTGTTGTGCAATGCGACCGTCCAGCTTTCGCGCCGAAGAGCGATGGAAGCCGCCGAAGACTGCTGGAGAGACCGTCAGACAACCTTTCGGAGACCGTCAGGAGATTGCCGAAGGCCGCCGCAGACGGCCCACGAGCGATGGGCAACCAGGGGTCCACGGTCGAACACCTACAGTGGAAGCCCATGCCAAGAGACACCCTGATCGCCTTCTTCAGGGGGCCCTGGGTTCCTTGGGTGCCTCGATGGGTTTGCCACAGAAAGCGTGACGTTCTCACACCACTAATCGATTGACGTCCTGGGGTCTCAGGGCCGGGTTTTTTGTGGAAGGTTTCTTGTGGTCGCGCTCCTACTGTAGGATCTGACGGGGTCTCGTTCAGGGTTTTCCCAGTCGTGTCGGATCCGCCCAGAAGTTTCAACCCTCAGATTGTTCTCACCGTGAAGATGGTGATGATGATGATGATGATGATGATGATGCTGATGCTGATGCTGATGCTGATGCTGCTGCTGATGCTGATGACGATGACGATGACGATGACGATGATGATGATGATGATGATGATGATGATTATTATTATTTTGATGATGATGATGATGGTGATGGTGATGATGGTGATGATGGTGATGATGGCGATGATGATGATGATGATGATGATGATGATGATGATGATGATGATGATGATGATGATGATGATGATGATGATGATGATGATGATGATGATGATGTTGTGGAAGGTTTCTTTTGGTCGAGCACGTAAGCTTTGACTCCTCGGCGTCGCGCGTGCCTCCTCCAGCGCCTTCGCGCCCTCTGCCCTCCGCCCCCGCCGGCCGCTCCTCCTGCTGCCGCGCCTCTGCTCTCCGCCCCCCCCCCTCTCGCTCCCGCCGCCCCTCGCGTCCCCGACCCCCTCTCCAGAGAGAGGGAGGCAGGGAGAGGGAGGCGGAGTGAGAGGGAGAGGGAGAGCGACACAGGGAGGGAAGGAGGCAATGAGCGATAGAGAGGAAGAGAGAGAGAGAGAGAGACAGGGAGAGCGATAGCAAGAGAGAGGGTGGGAGAGAGATTGTAAGAGAAAGAGGGGACAGTAAGAGAGAGAGAGAGAGGCAGGGAGAGAGAACAGCAGACATGTATACGTATGTATATATTGATGTGTATGTCGAGAGAGAGAGAGAGAGGAGGAGAGAGAGAGAGAGAGAGAGAGAGATTCGCGACGGAGGTAGAGGGGGGCGAGAGGGACAGCCGGCGCAGTTGTCGTCACCCAGCTGATCTCGCAGAGCTTCCAAAAGGTCGAGGCTTCTCCACTGGAAGGGGCAGAGGATGAGGAGGCGGAGGAGGAGGACGAGGTGGACGAGGAGGAGGAGGAGGACGAGGACGAGGACGAGGTCGACGAGGAGGAGGAGGACGAGGTGGAGGAGGAGGAAGAGGAGGACGAGGAGGAGGTGGGATGAAGAGGAGGAACGAGGCCGCAGGTCGGGAGAGGCGGTGGGCAGGATGCAGGAGGAGGAGTGGCGAGACTCGAGGCGGAGGGCAGGAAGAGGAGGGGGGAGACAGGAAAGGAGGAAGAAGGGGGGGGAGATAGGAAGAAGAGGGGGGAGATAGGAAGAGAGGTGAGATTCGAGGCGGGAAGAAGAGGGGGGAGATAGGAAAATGAGGAGGGAGATAGGAAGAGAGGTGAGATTGAAGGCGGAGGGCTGGAAGAAGAGAGGGGGAAGATTCGAGGCGGAGGGCTGGAAGGAGAGGGGGGAGATAGGAAGGGAGGAAGGAGGGGAGATAGGAAGGGAGGAAGGAGGGGAGGCTCTACGATGGAAGAGTTGGGCGCGGCTGGGATCGATGCATCGAGTTCTTGCCGAGCGGCGTCGCCTCTATCCCCCCCTCCCTCCTCCCCCGTTTATCGCCACCTGGAGGGTCGAAGCCTTTTCCCATACCCGCCGGAGTTCGACGAGAGTCTGCAAACGGAAGTGGTGTCCAAACGTGTCTGAAAGTTGCTGGCAACATCATTGTGATACCACTGTGAGGCACGATCCGCGTGAGGGACGACTGAGGGGGCGCGGGGGCGCCATGCGAGTTCCGCCACTGGGTGGAAGAGGTGAGGTGGCAAGAGAACGGAGCGCGGCGCTGCGGGGTCAAGACGAGGACCCAGCACACAGTGTTGGGAACAATGGTGCCCCATGTCGGCTTCGGGACATTAGTGGGACATTCGGGAAGAATGTTGCACCTGGTTCCTACCCCTCTCTCGTATTACCGTTTTCAGTTTCAGTTAACTCTTCTCTTCCTCCTCCTCCTCCTCCTTCTCCTCTTGCAAAGGAAGGACCCCCTAGTAAAAAATCCGTGTGAAGTCATCCTTCGCCGGAGCCCTTCAGTAAGGTTTCCTGACGGGGAAATCCTTACTAAGGAATCCGTGATCGTAAATACGTAAGGCCCTCGTAAGGAAATTTACGTGACGGATCCTTAGTAAATAATTTCTGCAACCGCAGCATGTGTTTAGGATGCGTTAATTTCAGATCCGTCGAATGAATTTTGATGCGGAATCCGTACTAAGGAATTCTGTGTACGGGATTCGACATAAGGGATCCGTGGGATGAGCCTTTAGCAGGGAACCCTGAGTAAGGTTTCTTTGCTAGTGGAGTCCCTGCTCGTGAATCATGATTTACCCTAAGCAAGGAATTAGTACCTATGAATCCTTGTAAGGAGCCCCCAGAAGGGATCCTTTACAAATAATATCTCAAGTAAGGAGCACTCAGAAAGGAGCCCTGCCTATGGGGTAAGTACCAGGATATCCTTAGTACCATATCGGCTTAAGAAATGCTTACAACATATGTAGTAGGAGGAGTCCTTGTTAAGGCGGGTACCAAGGAACCTGAACACGGTATCCGTAGTGCTGCGCCCCCAGTAAAGAGTATGCGTTGCAGGAGTTCTTAGCAGAGGGCTTGAGCAAGGTTTTCGTATTTGGAACCTTTTTTTACCAAGGAGTCCGTATCTTCCCTGGGTAAGGGATGTGTACGAAGGGATTTTTTGTAAGGAATCTTACATGAGGAGCCCTTGGAAGAAAAGAAGCCTTTTACGAAGGTGTCCTTACCAGGGGGTCCTTGGTAAGGCATCCGTAAAAAGGGAATGTTCACTTAGGTTCCTTAGCGAAGGAATCCTTGTTGAGGGGCCCTCCATAAGGATCCATTCGTAACGAATCCTGGCTGGGGAGCCCTTCTCAGCGTCACTTTCGCAAGGACCCCTCATCCGGGAATCGTTGGTAAGGATTTTTTCCAAAGGAACACTGAGTGGCCAATTCGTCGTAACATCACTTCAATCAGAAGTTGTCAGTAAAGACCCTTACAAGTGGGACCCGTAATAAAGAACCCTGAGTAAGGAACCTTTGTTGGAGGAGTACCCCAGGTGTTCTAGGGAACCATTACTGAAAATCTGTTGATCGCGAATCCTAACAAGGAGCCTTTCAATAAGGAGTCCCTATTCAGAAATCACCAGTCGGAAGTCCGAAGCAAGGCACCCTTTTTGTGGAGCCCCCAGTAAGGATCCGTGTTAGAAATCCTTAGCACATTGGGTTCTGAATATGGATTCCAGAGGAAAGAGCCCTTACGAAGGAAACCTTGGGTAAGGAAACCTCAATCGCGTGTTTAGTACGAATCTCTGTAAAGAACCCGTGCTAACGAATCCTTAGTACGGGATCCTTGTTTTCGAGTCTTGCATAAAGAATTACTATTGTGGAATTCAGTAGGTATTCCTTAGTAGCGTCCCCTTAGTAAGGACTCCTCCGTAGGTGCGAAGTTCTTAACAAGGAATACTGAGTGGGAAATCGTTCGTCAAGAACGTTGAATGATATCTCTTCATTAAGGAGCCCTTGATAAGGAATCCTTCGTAAGTGAGATTCAGCACGGAATATGTTTGAAGGCGTGTTTCATAGGACATTTTGAGTAAGGCTCCCTTTCGAAGGAAACTTTTTGCCAAGCGATCCTTGATAGTGAATCGTGTTTTCTTTGAGCAACGAAAATGTGCCAAGGAATCCTTGTTGAAGAGTCTCACTTGAGGAATGAATTCCCAGATATGGAACCCTAACTAAAGTGCCCTTACTAAAGGGATCCCTACGAAGGTCTCCGTCGCAAGGAATGTTGAGTAAGGTATCTGTAGCCAGGGATTCGGATACACATGCATGCCTTCTGTGGCGGAGGGGGGCCTGTGGCACAGGGGGGAATACCCCAGGGGAAACAACAAGACATTTTTCTGCTCTGAGCGATTCCCAGCGAAACCTTAAGCGTGTGTTCCTGTCGGCGCGCGGTCGCTTAATTGGTGGAGCGCTGCGCGCGGGGCCCTGTGGTCTCAGCCAGTGCGGCGGTCGGGCTGGGCGGCGAATCCTGTTGTCTCCAAATCCAACAACCCCAGAGCTCCTGACAAAAGAAATTGGAGAAAATCCCGGCGCGAAAAAAAACAGGTTTCGAAAAGGTGCGGTGCGTAACGGATGGAGAGCGTGTTCTGTTGTTGTTGACGGGTCGGCTCAGTATAGTATAGTACGTTATGTTGTATTATTATGTTTGTTATGTCTTGTTCTGTCGTGGTTTTCCTGTTCACATGTAGTTGCGATGCTTGATGTTATGCTCTATTATGTCCTGTTGTGTTCTCGACGGGCCGGCGTGACGACTGACATCACATGATTTGAGATGCCATGGTATGATTTGTTCCGTGGCAATGTGTTATGTCATGATCTGTTATGTCATGTTAGCCCAGGATGCTATTGACAGTTCGGTTCCATATAGTTTACTATGACATGATTTGCTGGTGTGATTTGCTATGCGATGATGTCGTGTTATGATATGTTCTGTGATGCTACCATGATGCCATATTTTGTGTTTTTATTGTCAAAGTGTGTTGTGTTATGCTCACCTACGTTATGCTATGCTTGTGTTGTAGTATGTCGTTGTCTGTTCTGTTATGGTCTGCTCTGGTATGCTCTGTGGTGTTATGTTTGTTGACGGCTCGGCTGTGTATTTTATAATATGATTTGTCGAGCTAGTACGCGTCGTTGTGTTTTTTTGTGCAGTGGTATGGTATGCCTGTGTTGTTGTGCCATGATATGACTTGGTATGTCCAGGTGTGTTATGGTCTGCTCGGTTATGTTTTTGTTGGGCAATCTATTTGTATATCATACTATTCGATAGTGTGTTGTGTGATGTTATATATGTTTTATATGCTGCCATGACATTGCTATGTCCGGTTGTGTCATGCCCGTGGCTTGTTATGGCATGTTGTGGTGTGGCATGTTGTGTGTTGTCGTTTGCGTCGTCGCTGTGACCTGCTGTGGTGCTATGATATGCTGTGTGCTGCTGTGTCATGATATGATATGGTATGCCACTGTGTGTCATGGTATGCTCGGTTATGCGTGCCATGTTGTCTGATGTTATGCCACGAGCGCGCCATGTGGTCTTAGGGGCGTCGCGCCCCGCGGCCGCGAGCGGCGGCGGGTTGCGGCGGCTGCGCGCCGCGCAGCATTACCTTCAGGAGACAGGGGCGCCGGGACGGTTGCGGCGTGGAGCCAGCGTCGCATCGGCACCGAGCGACCTGCGACTGGTGCCGATTCCCATCTAAGCGTTTATGGGGGCCACATGTGAACCCTGCCCCTACCCCCCACGATTTCCGAGGGGGAGGGTGGGGTTCGCTTCGTTCGGGAGCTCCCGAGCGAAGCGAACCCCACCTTCCCCCTCAGAAATCGTGGGGGGTAGGGGTAGGGTTCACATGTGGCCCCCTAGCGTTGCCCGCACATCGTCCGCGCCGCCCCGAGCGGTTGGGCCGCCCGCGGAAGTCCGCCCGTCGCCGCCGCCGTGGCTGCCTGGTGCGTTCGGCGGCGGCCCCCCGCCTCCCGGACGCCCAACCCGGGGGGGCGGCGGCGCCGTCGGCGGCCGCGGCCCCGGGCGGCCCCCGAGGTCCTGCAGCTCACGGCCGCGCTCCGCCTCCGTGGCTGGCCGGGAGGAGGAGGAGGCGGAGGAGGAGGAGGGGGAGGAGGAGGAGGAGGAGGGGGAGGAGGAGGAGGGGGAGGAGGAGGAAGAAGAAGAAGAAGAGGAAGATGAAGAGGAGGAGGAGGAGGAGGAGGAGGAGGAGGAGGAGGAGGAGGACGGCCTGTCTGCACCTGACGGGAGGCGCGGGCGGCCCAGGGGCGCGCGCCGCCGCCGCGCTGCGGCGAAGCCGCCCGGCCTGGCGAGCGGGCCAGCCCTGCCTACCACCAGCGGGCTTGCCCCTCGCAGCGGTCTTCGCGCCGCTCTTGCGGCCGCGGCCGCTGGCGCGGCGCCGAGGCCTGCTCCTGAGCCGCCTCCTGAGCGGCCAGCAGCGGCGTCTCCCGCGCGTGCCTTCGACCCGCGCGTTCGAGCGGCGCGGCCCAGGCTCGGTCCGCCGTCTCTTGCGAAGCCGCGTCTGGCGGCCCGGCGCGGCGGCGCCTTCCCCCTGCTCCCCCGGCAGCTTGCGGAGCGCGGCCCCGGGGCCTTCCCCCTCCGAGCCAACGCCGGCTCCTTCCATGCCGGGGCGCGCCCGCCCCGCCCTAGGCTGCGCGGGCCGTCCGCCGGGCATGCCGCCCTGCCGCCGCCGCTCTCGGCGGTTGGGCCCAGCGCCGCACCCCCCCCCCCCCCCCCCCCCCCCCCCCCAGGCTGCCTGAGCCGGGGGGGGGCCCTCCTCCTGGCTGGCGCCCGCCTGAGCCGCTGGGCCGCCGCCGCGCTCGACGCCCAGGCGCCGTTCGCCCGACCTGGCCCCTCCCTTGCCGTGCCTGCAATTCGATGGCCCCCACGAGTGGTCGGGCGCTCCCATCCTCTTGTTGGCGCCGAGCGACGGGGGCTCCGTCTTCGTGGACGCGGCTGCCTGGGCGAGCTTTGCCTCGGTTTCGCCCGCCGAGCTGCGCGGGGCGCCCGAGGCGCGCGCGGCCATCGGCCCACCGCCCGCGAGGCTCGGCGTGGAGGCCCTACCCGGGCACCCCCCGTCGCCTCGCGACGGCCGGCCTTCAGGGCCCGTCCAGCGCGGCGCCTGCGCCTAGCGCCGCCCCGGCCAGGCCTTCGACCAACGCGAGGCCGTCGGGCTCCGCGCCCGCGAGGCTTTCAGCCCCGACGCCGCCGATCCTTGCGAGCGATGCGACCGCGGAGGTTTTTGAGGCCTTCGTGGGTCGACTGGCCTCTCTGCCGCCCTCGGGCGGCCTGCGCGGCGGCCCGCCGCAGTCGCTCCGCGCGCGCCGCAGGCGCGGCTCCCGCTAGGCGCGCTGGCGCCCCAACCATCGCTCGCGGCGCGCGTGGCGGCCGTCGCTGCGGCTGGCTCAGGCTGAAGCGCCTCGCCTCTCCGCTGCACGGGCCTGCGGGCTGGGCTCCTGCGCGCGGTCGACGCATCTGCTCGCCCAGGCAGGGGCCCCGAAGCCCCCCCGCGTCGCCCGCGGCCGCGGCCGCTGGGAGCGCCTTGCCGCGGCGGCGCGCGCGCGCTCAGCGCTCGCGCTTCGCTGGGGCCGCGCCGCCCGCCTGCCCCCCGCCTTCGCGGGGCTTCTTCGCGCGCCCCTGAGCCCGGGCGCTGCTTCCTCGCGTGGCTCGCTGAGCTCGCTAGAAGAAGCGTCCCGCGGGCCCGCCGAGGCGCGCGCGTTCGGCGCCCCGCGCCTTGGTTCCGCTCGGGTCCGATGCCCGCGCCGTTCCGACCCGTTGCGTTGACGCGTCGTCGGGCCGTTTCATGCTGGTGCGGCCCTGGGCCCTGGGGTCGAGCGCCGCCGAGGCTGCTGGGCGCGCCTCGCCGCCCTTCCCCCCCCCCCCCCGGCCTGCGCGACCGTGGCGCGCGCTGTTATTCTGAACGACGTCATCCGCAATGGGGCAGCACGGCTGGGCGCCGCACTGGTGCGTTGCCCCTGCGGGGGCCTGGGGCCCGCGTGGTTTCCATTCGTCTTTGAGGCGCCCTCTTGGTGAGCTTGCTCCCACAGCAGTGCCTGCGCTGCCCGTTGGCGATTATCCTCCGAACGGTGTTTTTTGCTTCGGAGAGCGGATCGCGCGCCGCTCTACTTGCGGCGCCTGGGCTGCAAAACCCTGCCCCTCCGATCGCTTTTATGAGGGCACGGCGGTCTGACTCTCGCGCCTCCTGAGCAGGGCGGTAGGTGATGTGCACTTGCACCCGCGCGCGGGCACGTCTGCCGCCCGCGGCTGCACCGGGGCGCGGCCGCGGCCACCCGCACATCCCCGGACTCCGCTGCTGGCCCGCGCCACACTTCGCGGGCCCCCGCCGTTCGCCACCAATCAGGGTCCGATTCGGCTCTGAAGCGCGTGCGCGATGAAATGAGCGCGCACGTGATGCGGGCAGGAAGGGGGATCATTTAACCACGTTCGTTCGATGGTGAGCCCCGTTCGGAAAGCTTCGAGATGGACGTCCGAAGAGTCTGCAGCCTTGTCACGCATCCTTACTATCCGTTTTGATTGGAGCACGCCGGTGCTAAAGCGAACGTTTTGAGCCATATTGCGAGAGGGTTGCTCGCCACCTGGGCCCTGAGAAAGGAGGGGGTCATGAACGGCGAACATACACATGTCCACGCCCTCGCGGTCTGGATCTTGGGGCGCGATCCATAAGATAACTACACGGTCGCATGGATACGCTCCGCGCGGTGCATCCGCGAACAAAAATCGTTCGTATCCATAGGGCCGCGGCCAAGTGGCTTGGCCAGCGAAACCATGGACACGGTGATGCTTCCCGCTCACGAAGGGGGAGGAGTCGAAGAACAACGAGTTGCTTCGTCGTAGGTTTTTGAATGTTCGCGCGGATCTTTCGGGTCGGCTCTGGACCCTGGTCCCCGGCGCGTGAAGGGTCGGCGCCAGAAGCGCCGCCAAGCAATTCTCGAGCCGATCGGGGGGAACGATCGGGGGGATTTGTTTTTACGGGAAATCTCGACCCCCGGTCGTTCATTGATCGCCGATATGGGACCTGATAGCTCACCCGCCCAGCAGTGTGCAGATTTGCTATCGGGAGCTTTCCGGAAATGTTTCGCCGGTTTCAAATCCCCCCTGAGTCAGTCCCCCCATCATCATTGCCCGTCAGGAGAAGGGTCCAACGCGGACGCCGCAAATCCGCGCGGCCCACAAAGTTAACGGTTTTGTCATGTTTTGGCCTGTTCAATCAGAAGAGACTGGTACCGATACTGCTGCCTTTACCTCGTCGCCACGGCTGGATTCGCCGCGAAATCTGGGCTAGAACGCAGGCCTGGAAGGGCCGGGAAGTATCGGTATTTATTCCCTCCCCCTTTTTCAGAAGGAGGACGGGGGGGCCCTCCTCCTTCCTGCTTTTGCTCCTCATGGTGTCGCTTGTCAGCGTCCTCATGGAAGTCTGTTTCTAGTAGTTGTTCCTCGGTCCAGCCTTCTCACGTGTTGGATTTGGGCGGGAGATATGGAAGTATGGAAGTTGAGGGGTTGGTATGTGGGGGGGAGGGGGCGCTCCTCCCTCCCGCCGAGGGTGACTCCAGCCAGCCCGTTATCCAAATCGTCTTCCCGACCGTGGTCGGGATCTCGTGCTTGGTTAGTCCTGCGGGGCCGGGGCCTTGGGCCAAGGCAGTACGCCAGCAAGCCTCTCGGCAGCACGTCGAAGCCGTTCGATAGATGATACGTGGGCCTTTTGCACTTGCCACGTCTCAATGTGTCATTTCTTCTCATCGTGTTTCTCGAACGTACCGATCGGATCGATTTGGTAACTTTTTCGCGATGTGCATCAACGCCCTTGGGTGTGCAGGCACGGCGTACCCACGCAATGCATTCGAATCGACGGGTGTTCGGTTCTGATGGAGGCCGGTGCCACTTTTACCGAGAGTAGTTATCTGCGCGAGCTGGGCTCTTCACACTTGACTGCGGGCTACCCCCAATGGAATCAGTTTAACAGTGTACAGGCCTTAGATTTCGTCCACACACTCCCCCCTTTACGGTCCCGCGCACTTGCGTACCCTGGCTTTGGAGATCGATGGCACAAGATATATGAGACATGCTCATTCCATGTGTGTGTTGGGCAGGTCGATGTATGAAGGGCGCATATACTTCGGGGGTGGGCGCGTGTTGAGGACGCATCAAACTCGGCGCTTGCATTCGAGGGCGGCGGACGCATCGAAATTGTGGGTTGTTTGATTCCTTGGACGCATGTGCGAAGATATCCTCGGTGGATCTCAGAAATGCGTTTGTCGAGGCAGCGTCGCGTCGGACCCAGGGTGGCTTCAGGGCAAAGAGATGACGTTTGGTCAGGTTAAATCAAGCGGAGATATGGCGCTGTTTTCGTTGGCGGACGTCCTTTCCGAATTGGAGGCGTGACTGCTTTTCGTTGCAGCGGTTGAACCTCGCAGTACCCGAATCGTTTGATTCAGGTGCCGCAAACTTTGGGGTACCAAGCCACGATGCCAGCGTGAAAGTGAACAGTCTCTCTCTCTCTCTCTTTCTCAATTCTTCCCCCTTGCCCTTCCTGCACCTAGTCACCCGGCTCCACCTGCATGCGTATTCTCATCCTTCTCTTCTATCGTTCCTCTTTGTCTCTTTCTAGGCCACCCAGATGGGGTCCGAGTAGATGGGTCGGAGGATCGCGCCGCATCGCCGATGCATCGGCGATGCGGCTCGATGTGGAAGCCGAGTTTCTCCACGCCGACGTCGCCGATTTATCCGCGATGCTGTCGTCGCATCGCCGCATTGCCGATGCATTGGCTGCGCATTGGCGAGGGATCGCCAGTGCTGCGCGATCGTCCGACCCCATCTACTCCGAGACCGTTGGCGAGGCCTGTATTCCTCCACCAGAGCGAGGTTGGCATCGCTCGGACGTGTGCACTGTTTTTTGGCGAGGGCCATCGAGGAGCCTTATGGGTCATCCTGCGGAACAAAATTCGCAGGCCTGGAAGTTGGCACCAACA